TTTACAAAATTAAATCACTGTACTCTATTAATGCGATTGAAAGCTTAGAAAAAACACAGGTACAGACACTGATAATTATTTCAATATACAAGAAAAACGCGGCTGTACTTTAAGATTTTATAAATTATTAACTTCATACATGTACAGAATGCAGGAGAATACGATGCTGTCTAAAGCCCGAAGTAGCTTTGTATGAAATTTAAATGCAGCAAAATATTTAAGTCATGTTTTAAAAAATAAAAGACAATGGTAAAATCAATACCTTTGTCGTCAAGTGACTATGCAAATCCAGAAGGACAGTTTCAGAGAATTATTCCTTTAATACTTTTCAACTAATAAATAAACATGAAAAACACCACTTTTGAATAATCTACTACTGGAGGATTTATACTTGCAAAACCCATTCCGTTATGTATGATAAATCAAGTAAAACATTAACCAATTTATGATCGTCTGATGATTTTATCATTTGAATCATTTGGCTTGGCTGGTATTAAAATCAAATCGTTAATTTACGCATTAATAACTGTAAATGTACTGCAGTAGAATTCTGTTGTGTTCAATATTCGTAGCATTTCACATGATCGTGTCTTTCTCTAATCCTCAAGTACACTAAACGGCAACAGAGTGTAGGACAGAATGATTTCATACCAGTAACTTCGAGCCATCATTGGTACTGCATAATCCGTTCCAAATTCTCACGATATCACAATATGGACACTTCATTTCAAAGATGGTGGGGTGAATATAATGCAAACACATGTCGGAAGAGACATATTTGACCTACAACCCTGTATTGTGGCAAAATTTAAAAATAATCCGTACCCAAAGCGATATTTTACCCATATCGATGTCTATACGTGAATATATTGGCAATATAGAGGACGATATGTCCTCTATTTTGTTAATTTATTGTTAATATCTGACCAGAAAAAACCGAGCTACGAATTTAACACCGGATACACATGAAGTCGAGTTTATGTGTTTGCTTTTTTTCAGATAAACAAATTTCAAAACCTAAAATGTTAGCTGTGTAAAAGCAAACTCCGGTTGAGGTCTGGTGGTAGAAAAAGCATATAAAAAATTTAGTTAAAGAAACAAAGTGTATGGCTTTGGCATGGATTTAAGAAATGCCTATTGTCTATTATTGTCATACTACCGTTATACATTCAATTATAAAAATAAGAAGATGTGGTATGATTGCCAATGAGACAACTCTCCACAAGAAACCATATGACAAAGAAATTAACAATTATAGGTCACCGTAAAACCTTCAACAATGAGCAAATTCCATATCGCATAGTCAGCTATAAAGGGCCCCAAAATAGTAGCTTGTGAGTACATTAAATAAAAACCATACATTTGTATGTCTGTGTTAGTAATATATCTACATTAGTAAGATATTGAAATAAACTTTAGAATTAAATTGTATCATTATGAAAAACGTTTAGTTGACGCTAAAGTGTCTGAAAACTTTTTATTAATGTAACGATCTTGTAGTTTTTTTTAAAAACCATTACGTATCCACTTGGATTTTAAAAGTTTCATTGACACTGACATCAACATACTTTATTGTTTTATTGACAATATATTTCTTATGTTTGGTAGGCTTGCTTTTATAAGACAGTCGAATTTCATATATAAGCCTACTTGTGGTTTTTGTGTCTTCCCTACTTAGTTGTTTTCAGCATACGGCCGATCAAAGAACGTAGTTGTTTTCAGTATAAGGCTGATCAAAGAACGTATCAAGAGTATTTCAAAAAATGTAGTATTATCATTCCATTTCTCATTCCGCCATATAAAGGATTTCTTTTCACTGAATTTTCAAAAGTGTGTTGACTTTAAAATTGTTATTGCATCTTATACATTTGTAATATCTCATATGTTCCAATGGAATTTGAAATCGTAATACTACACACAAAGTTAAGTCTTCTTCAAGAATGGATGCATCAGAAATAAACTTCATGACAAAAATATGTCAGTTTTTCCATTGCTAACGTACCGATTCTAGTTTATAAATCAACATTTTAGAGGAAGATAACATATTTCACAGTTGATTTGATACTCCATGGCTTGTCTTTCCGACCATGATTTTCTTAATGGAGTTGTGTTGTGACAATGAAGCTATTGAACCAATGATTCATAAATATGTTAGAGGTTGTAAAGACCTTTCTTCAGATGTATTAATGACGCCATCATTACTGGTTTGTCCGCTATGGGTATCCTAATCCCAATACCGTCCTCTTTTTCTTAATTGTGATATCACCAAATGTGACTTATTATCTAATTTGTTCTAACCATAAGCAATATGATGGGGTTGACTAGTGGCACGGGAACTGACTACGCACCTGGGCACCTGAGTTCATTCCTTGTTTATTTGTCAAAGGAATTCGTATTGCTTTTGCGTTTATTTTTAATGTTATATATTGTGTGTCACCCTTTTTACTCTAAATGTCTGTCTGTAATGTTTTTACTGGTAACACTTGTTATAAAAAGAAAAGGAGATATGGTACGATATCCAATGAAACAGCTATCCGCCAGGGTTCAAATTACATGGATGTAAGCTATTATAGGTCTCAGTACGACCCTCAACAATTAAAAAAACCCATAACGTATAGTCAGTTATAAAAAAATTGCCTTTCGTCTTTAAGACTTTTTTTTTCAAAATTTCATTTTGTGTAATTTTAGGTTAAGTTAATCAACACGTACCAGAGGCTTCTGCATTTTGTGATGTCGAACGGTAAAACTAGAGCCGTGCATCAATCCGCTGCGGCATGATTTTTTTTCCGTTTTTTTTTATATATGCGTTTTGTTTTGTGTTACCTTTATCTCTAATCACATGAATGGAAGATATTTTCTGAACAATTCACCCACTTAAAAAAGTGTATAAGTATTTCCGGTTAAGGTGTTTTTCTTACAATATATAAGTAAATTTATTTCCTTTTCAATTTGTTAGTTGAGATGTTTATCATGAACTGACATATGAAAAACAGTTCGTAGATCACTTTCTTTATTCAGTAATGGTTTCCAAAGTTTCAGTTTTCCCTTGCGATGATTTGAATATTACTGAATTCAAATACGCCAAGCAGATTACACCAATGACAGGACGGTTGACTGGGTATTTTGGGCTCACAATAAACGTTTTTACGGATAAGTTTATATTTTTTCTCAATTTTAGGAAAATATATTGCAAAAAAAAAAAGGAGATATTAACATTTTCTGTCGATCAGGTCAATATTATTCGTAGCGTACTTCCCTCAGGTCAACTTTTTTGTAGAAAAACATGTTTTTTTTAATATAAAGTTTATATTCTTTTATAATATATTTATTAATCGCGCAGATTTATTAATTTTATGAAAAAAATGATAAAACAAAAGAGATATTAATTAATTAACAGTTTTTGTCGATCAGTGCAATATATTTTCCAAGCGTACATCGGCGACTATGAAATCAGTCCGGTCAACTTTTTTTGCTCAAAAATATTTAATTTTTTTTTTTTTTTTTAGATTTTCATAATATATCTCAAAGTCTTAAAGGTCTCCATATAAAAAAAAATCTACCAAATAACAAAAAAGTTATGACCAATTATATCTCATTCGGTCAATCGTCCTGTCATTAGTGTAACCCACGTCAAGTCATTAAGAAAAGAAATGGTTTTACAAAATTGTGTTTTTATAAATAAAAAAAATATATATTATATACATTTTAAGTCAGAATGGTACTCCTTTTTAAGTCAGAATGGTACTCCTTTTTATTCGGCTTGAATTGATGTGGTTGCCTTGTTGATTGTATTTTTGCAGTTTAAACATTTCAAAATCTTCTTAAGTTCACACAAAACTATTCAAGCTTATATGGTCTATAATTTTCATTTGAGTTAACTATCTAAGATATATATCCATACTCGAAAACAGCAGTTTAAACTTTGTCAGAGTTAACAGTTACTGTCTACTTCTTACAATAGTAGTAGTGAATCATATATAATAATATAAATGTAGACGGATTTTAGCTTTTTTTAAATATAAAATATAACGTTTTTTCTTCATTATTGTAAATTCAAGACGGTTTTTTTTTGGGTTTTTTTTTGTCATTTTTTTTTTAAACAACGTTTTTTCTTCATTATTCAATATTCGAAATACAGGTGTGGCATCCTGCACGAGATAGCTTGTTGAGTAATTAATAATTAAGGGTGAATGGGTAGCAGCTAAATAATCATGTCAACATTTGACAGGTGTTCAATACAATAACCTCAGGTAGTGCTCCAAATCAACATGATCAACAAAAAGAAATTATAGGATCAAAAAGTTATAAAATTTTAATAACTGCTTATCAAGTAGGATAAATGTTAGATCTCTATTTTCTTTTGTTTCAATAACATTCCAAATATTTCTTTTGATTATATTTGAACAGTGCATCAGCTTGGACAAGCTTAGACAAACATTGATATAAAAAAAGATGACTAATGATAAAAGCTCTACCATTGCATTGCTAAAATTAATTAATTAGATTAATTGATAAAACAAAAAATGTTACAAAAAGATTATATTGAACAACCAAACTTATATAATAATCTTATCTTTCAATATATTCTAACGAAGAGTAAATACATTGTTTATAAGTTCCCTGTGAAAGGCTCTTAGAGTGAGGTGGATTCTTTTCACGATTTTGGGTGGATGAAAAGGGGGTGCGTATTATACTCAAATGCGTACTAATCACGGCTGATTACGGGAAATCAGTTTTTTTTAAGTAATTGAGTAAAATCTACACACTAAAGGCAATAAATCTCACGTTCAGCTTTAACTGAAACACAATGACTTGATTGTGTTTTCTGCATATTCCAAATAGCAACTCTTAATCATCTGAGTTAGCAAATAAAATTATTGTAGCTTGTAAAAAGAATAAGTAATGCATACTTAGACTGCATATATACTTTAAAATGTTATTGTTTGTGTTTTGACGCTTGATCGGAAATCGCCTTATTAAAAAAAAACAATTGACGACAGAAAGGGTGTTAACACGTTTATAACGGAAAGTGCAACGGAAAATGTCGAGATTAAGGAGGTAGTATTGTACATCACCCTACTATCCTTAGTATTAAATCAATGCTACTCAATGGAGGGTTCTAATCATAGTGAGTTCATATATATGTATATTCTACTTTTAAATGGAAATATGTTTTGCTTTAATTTGTATATTTGTTACAAAAACGCGTATTCAATTTATTTTTACTGTTAATTTCAAAATTTTAGGCAGTAAGACCAAAATTTATCTGTGAGATGTTTAGCGATTCTAGATGTTAATTTACATATTACAAAATGTATTTTAAAGACATGTTTTATTATAAAAGCAAAGCCTCAAGCAGACAAAAATCTAAGCACAAAAAATCGCAACGGTAATCAAAGAAATACACTTTGTAATACTGTACCACATGACTACCATCTTTTTTATTCTAATTAATTCTATATAACGCAATGGAGAGCTTCAATGTTTGGGTTATTTGTATATTCCAATGTTGTTTTCAAATGTTTCTTGCTTTGTAAATTTCGAGTAACATGCCTCAATTTATCCCTGTTAATTTTGATTTTAGAACAGCAGGACAGTTATGGCCTGTGTATTTTTTTTATCCATTCCAAAATAGCACTAGTTTTATTTTTGTAAACATATACATTTTAAAATAAAATGCAATACTCTGACACATATTTAAGCACAATATGTTGTTGTTGACAACTTTTGTGGTTTCTATATATTCAAAATCAAATCAAATATTTAATGCAATATCATACGTCTGCTTAATAATATTTCAGATTATACGTACATTGGATGCTTTGAAGATCGCGTTGAAAGATTATTGCCTGCTGGACCTTACACAACAACAAAAAATGAAATGTCCACCAACATCTGCTTTAACCACTACAATTCTAAAAGCTATAAATATTTTGCAACAGAGGTAGGGACTTTTTTTCCTAAATACGTATTTTAACTTTAATTTTGAGGTATGCTTAAGATATTAACGTTAAAAATTCAAAAAAATTGAGACCATAAATTGTATTTGTATATTGTATATTTATATACGTACTGTTGTATTTTTTTCTTCAAAACATATTCCTCAGTAACTAGCAATATTCAACATTGTTAGCTTCAAATGGACAAAAAGTAAGCCTCTCATTATAAAAAATAAAGCAGCATAATTTTGGGCCAGCTTATATTGTAGACATTAAGAATTGGTTCAAGACAGATAAGCCTCTGACAACGAAGCATAATAGTAAGGGCTGTGTCTGACAATGCTTGTTAGATGAACTCTATAGCCCGTGCAATATGATATACATATACATATACGGCTCTGGGCAATGTTCCACCATCAATTATAGTAAGTTGTGTGTACGACTCCAATCTCAATTGAATAGGATTGTCAGTATTTCTACGGAAAGTCGCTGGATCTTTCCTGGCACTCCTGCTTACTCCACCATTAAAAACTGACCACCACGAAATATCACAAAAGTGCTGAAAGTCGCATTAAGCACCAAACAATCAGTCAATCAATCAATCAAATCTAGCATATTCTCTTAAAATCATTCATGTCGCGCCAATATAACTAAAACAAGACTACTATAATGTTTTCACATTGGCTCGATTCGGGTTAGTCCGATTTGACAGCCGGTATAGTTTCGTAATGTTTGCATGTTGACCTTTGGCTTCGTTTTAAGCCAATATAACAAGCAGATTACCAACACTACGGCAAAGTGAAAAGCTTTACAAAGTGTACGATAAGTGCACTAGATTATACATTGTATTCTAGTACTTATGTCTATATTGTTTGTAAACGTAATTACAGTTCGGAACCGAATGCTGTTGTGGTCATTTGGGAAAAGTCGGTTCTGGCCAGTATCCAAGAAAAAAAGAAACAGACTGCAACAAAACATGCAAAGTTCATGTAACAACAAAATGTGCTGGCACATGGAGAGCGTCAGTTAAATAGATATGGTGAGTACATTTATTGCTTTTCAAACTGTTCATTAAAAAATATTAGAGCATGTTAAAGACACAAATGTGCGTATTGTTGAAATAACGCAAATTGTTTGTACGCCATGCCTTGTCTTGTCTTTCATCTTTTTTGTGTGTGTAGTATTGCACTGTCCCGTTTGTCGCTCTGAAAAAGTAATGCCGAAAAAAGACACAAAAATAATAACATTATCATTATCTAATAATAATCATGCTAATAGGATACAATAACATTCTCGGCACAAAAAAACTTGCTTTCTGTGGTGGCAATTTTTTTTTCCTTCATTTGTTTTAGACCTGCTGTGTAGTTGTTTTCTTTAGAATATAACACCTATTTCATCTTTAAGATTTTTAAGAAATAGATTAAAAATTTAATTTCAAAACTTACACTACATATGCTTTTTAAGTTAGAATTCGGTAAATTATCAATATTATCAACTATTTAATACGAAAATTTTGGCTATCCTGAACATAGCTATTGTTCTCTATTATAAAATTGAAAATTAAAACAACGGACATTTTTTCCTATGTTCTTATGTTTACTACAGTGTATAGGCTATGTCTTCACCTGTAATGGTCACTGTAATAATTGTCATAAACCTTCCTTCTATTGTCCTTACTGTTGCTAAGCTATTCATGCGTTTTCCAACGCTTCATTGTTCTATCGACTATTATGTTTCCCTAAGAAAATGTTATCACTTTATGCAATCTAATGATATTCAAGAAACTAAGCCTGTGAATGATGTATATGAAACACGAGAAGATACCAACAACTAGACTGATTATTTGTATGAACAGATCAATGTCTAGAGAGTTAATTTTTAGAAATATTATTTTGTGAATAGGTCACAGTCAATTATTTTTACTACATTTATATATTTATTTTGACTCTCAAGTCATGACGTCAATATATTTCAAAGAAATAATATATGGCATTACGTTTTCATTAATCAATCACCATAATATACTTTTTCCTAGGTAATCAGTTATCGACGACAAAACATACACCAACAAGTCCGAAACAAAGTCAATCTGTTATAGGTAAACCTTAAATAATTTTATAGTTATCAATAAGCACTATTTTAGTTTCGCGAGGAGCTAAATAACACTGACGACAATTGGTTGTTTTTGTGGACTTACGATCTTTAAATAGAAATAAGTATTTTCTAGAAAATAAGAGTTATATTTATCCTGATAATATTTAATCTTTCACTCGTTGAATATTTTCAAATTAAACCATTGTGGTGACGTCAGCCTATTCATCTACCGTGGATTCTTTTTCTAGAATCAACGCTTCCTAAATCTGCCGCTGCAATTGACTCACCAAATTATATTCAATTATTTCTTTTGTGTGCCTAATTTCATTAAGTTTGAATGGCTAATTTACTGATTTCTGTTCACTAATGGAATTAATTTAAAAACTTACCTTTAATTTTTGTAATTTTTATATGCCTTCACTGGGAATCGAACCCTTCCTTGAAATCTGTTATGTGTGACTGACATCAACACATCGACGAAACCTCTCGGCTACCAATGGGTTACACTATAGATGTCTATTTTATATATTTAAATGAACATCTGATATACATCGGTTCATCGGACACACAGGGCTTGTACCTTTATATAGACACAATAGGCAGTCGTATAGTATGAGTTGGTAGCCGCGAGGTTAGCATGGTTAAAATCAATGAGTTAAAGATAAGGATTTGTCGGTTCAGGTTCGAATCCCTGTATTTTCTCTTTTGTTCCAATTCTTAAGTTATCCTGTTTTTTTTCTAATTTTGCATGTTATAGTGGATAGTTTTGTAATAATAGCGAGTTTTACCGTTTTTTTATTATTATTATTGGCTATTTCACATGTTTGAAACAAAAATGATTACATTCTATTTGTCAATTTTTGTTTTATAAATATAGTATGATTTCATCTGTTTTACTACATAATTTTGCGAAGGTTTGTTCGCAAATTCCTATGCGAGAAAATCGTGATGTGCCTAGAGTGCTAGATAAATTTCGATAACATACTTATTATATATACTTTATATATGCTTTTTGGTCGGGTTGTTGTCTCTTTGACACGTTCCCAATTTCCATTTTCAATTTTATTAGAAATAATTTCGAATATGTCTTATTTTGTATAAACAGATAATATTCATATGCCTGGTAATATAAAGATCTTTAAAGGTAGAAGTGTTATATTTGTATTTTGTTAACCAATTAATTGTGATCTAAGATTTAGCAATGCATCGTTGGACACGATAACATGGTTATTTAAACTCACTTACAATACCTTCTAATTAAGAAAAGGCTTTAATTTTGAAAAGAAATTAACACAATAGTTTAAGTTATAGATACCATGGATAAGCGTAGATTCATGAAAAACAAACCATTCGCTCTCCGGGCTCATGGTTTCTTTTTCAAGAATCCACTCTTATCCATTGTATCTATATAACATAATATCTTTTTTTGCCCTGTTAGTTTAATTTTTACTAAATAATATTAGATATTAAATTTGAATTGATACGAATCCAGTAGATATATTCCACTGATCGAAAGACCATTTTATCAAATATGTGTCACGTGAAGATTTATTTGCCATTAACCTGAATATTGTTCGCAAATTCCATTTCCATAACATACGAATTTCCCTGTTTGTTAGGTAGGTGTAGAAATGTGATGTTGGATGAGAATGACTGTTTTTGTTTTTATTAATTTTGAAATAGATTAAAATACTCTAATGTCATTATAATAACATTGTGGTTATAGTATGCACAATTTGATATCAGATTTGTAAATAAATATGTTGACTTGAGGTACGCCAAATATCATTATCATCTTAATTATGTCTACTAGGAATGTATTTTAGACTAAAATGAAATTTAGATTAATTCATGTTTAGTTAAACCGTGTGTCTAATAAGATTAACAACAAATTTAGAGCAACGTCAATCACACCAAAGTGAAGAGTTTCAAAACAACAATGTAGGATACGTGCAATAGTTTAATCCTTCTTTTCAAGTACTTATGTCTATATTGTTTACGAACGTGTAGTAACAGTTCGGAACCGAATGTCTTTGTGGTCATTTGAGAAAATTCAGTTTTTACCAGTATCCAAGAAAAAAGGAAACATATTGCAACAATAATCTCATGTTTAGTTCATGTTTAGTTGAAGCGTATGTCTGATACGATTAACAACAAATTTAGAGTAACTCCTTTAATATTTCCTAAATATGACTGTATCAAGTCTGTAACAACATTAACAGAATTATGTAGTATTTCTGAGCATGTAATAGTATTAACGGTACCAGATGCGCATAAATGTGTCCTCGGTGATGCGCAATACCAAATATTTTGAAAAAATGAACCTTTTACAATCGTTGAAAAGTTGATAAAACCAAATAAGTAAAGATAAAAGCTAACCATTGTCACTTAATTATAAAAGTCTAAAGATAACTCTGAGCTGAAAAGTTTAACGATTTCGGCAAATGTTTAAAAAAAAAACAAAAATACAAGAGACAACCTTAAAACCCAATTAAAAATTGTAGCAACAGGACATATTGGCAGACTATGCATATAAAATTATTTCATTTTAGTTTTGGATGTTGTTTGATTCTTCATGTAACAAAAAAACATAAAAATTTACAATATTTTATCAACATTTTCAACATTGTTATTACATGTAATAGAAACGTTTCGCAATATATCTTTTTTCTCTAAACGATACCTTAAACATTGAAATTCATAGTTCAGTAGGATTCACAATTTTTTTTGCATTTTTACAATCTGAGCGAAACTGATCTAGGGGAAGTTGGCCATACCCTTTGACAAATAATAGTTTCATGTTTAAAGTAATATTTGCGACGTCTATGATTGATTGATTGATTGATTGATTGTTGGATGCTGAACGTTCCTTATATGATTGCAAAACGCTACCTGTTGAAACTGATATGTTTGCTGTTTTACACAACATGTAAACATTCCACTTTCTAAGACGAATATGACATATATACGCGGAAGATATCAAACATAGGACAAGACAATGTTAATTGTGTTTATAAGATCTCAAATTTCCTTTTTTTGGGGGAATATCAGGTAACAGGGGCTTTGAATAATCATGAGAATTGTACTATATCTTTAAAAAGAAAAAAAAAAGAATATTAAACAATTTATACACTGAAGAGTAATCAAAGGTTTGCTTTAACCAAACGTCCTTATCTCTAACGATACAAAACAATATCATTATGCATTATATATAGCCTTATATCTGAATAAATAATGTCAAAATATAAATGTACATATTATTATTTTGTAGCTGAATTTTCAATATACACGGTGGTTATCGAGCCTGTCTTGGTCTTATTATTCGTGGCTGCTTTAGTTGTCTCCCTTGTCGTTTGCTTCAGAAGAAAGAGAGGCAAGGATCATAATATAACAGAAAAAAACTGATTTACCCAGTTATACCACAGTAAATTACAATGAAATGAAAGATATCGTTGTCCCTGAGATGAATGAGAGCAGACATAGATATAACGCAGCTCAATGTGAACCAAACAACATTTCCGCTTCCATTCAACAGGAAGAAAACAACTGCAACAATTATGAATCATTATCAAACAACCGCAAGTCAGTTGAACATATTTATCAATCGGAATCTGTTCACAACAATCAGTTATCATTGGATGAACATACATATAAATCAACAGAAGAGGCAATGCAAGCATCGATGGGTCCAAACTTAGTGCAATATCAATCACTAACTTACTCTCTTGAATCAGATAACCACGTTTATTCATCAACAGTTCTATATAGTAACGTGCTATAAGTTAATAACTAAATTTAAAATTTAATACTGAAATTGTTATACATAATTTAATCTATTTATTCAACCTATTTCTGAGGTTAAAAGGGTAAAGGTACATCGTTTCCTCTCTGAATTTTCGAATTTGATTGATCAATGTTCAACTTGCATTTCTTCATACAGATAAAATCAGGATGATTTATTTAAGTAAATCATAGATTGTGCTACACCAAAACGCTTAGACGAATTTACAATTTAACAAATATATAGCACATGAATTAACAGTCAGTACACAGTGAGGTAAATCACTCTAGACCCATATTTTTTTTTCTCCGATTAATCTTTCTCCGTCCTCTTGCTTGGTGTATGGTTAATAAAGAGTCCATCTCAACAAACAGAGGCAGTCATATCGAGGCTGATATGTCTTTGTCAGGAGAAACCGTTCTATCATATCTATGGACTAAAACAATGTAAAACAGCGTTTATACTGCTCTATATTTAGATGTTTTAAGTTTGGTTGACAAATGGAAGCTATGTCAATTTCTACGATCCCCTTGAGTTTAAGTAAATTAAAGTATAAAGAGATTCCAATGGATATTCTATTAAGCAAGACTTCGTTGACCTAAAAAGTAAGATAACAAAAATACCGAACTCCTAGGAAAATTCTTAATTGAAAGTCCCTTAACGAATGGCAAAATCAAATGTTTAAACACATCAAACGAATGGAAAACAACTGTCATATGCCTGACTTACAGGCATTTCCTTATGTAGAAAATGATGGATTAAACTTGGTTTATAGCTAGCTAAACCTCCCACTTGTACGTTTAGCTATAGGTGGACAATTATTATTTCATTTCGTAGAGCGGTTTGGAATGTTTACAAAATTGTGTTTCGTTTGGCCTGTTTGAACCTATATTGATTATATACTTCAACCCCAAAGCAAAACAATTGTTTATTTTGTAATAACCATTGTAAACACATTCAATTTGGTAGACATAATTTTGTATACATCATACATTTTACAATACACCACAATAAAAATAATCTGGTGAAATAGACACCATAGAGATGTATACACATGTCAAATCAATATAGAATTAATTGCAAACAAAGAGTAAACCTGTACATTAAAAAAACCTGTTTGTTTTTACAGATATTTGTAATTGTAGCTCTATTTCGTTGAGTAAAATACGTTTGATCTGTTCCCAAAAGTGTTAAACAAAGTCTTGTAGCTTCGAAAAAGCTGTACATTAAGAAATATTCTAAATTGCTTTACATAATATATATAGAAATGTGCTTGCCAAATTACGTTCCAATTTAAATAGCTAGCTTGTGATTGCTTGTTTCTTAATTTACAAAAAGTAATTGCATCTGTGTCGAATAAAATGTCTAAATAATTTTCATTCTGAATTTGGTGTTTAATAAATTGGTAAAGAAGACCCTTATGTAATGTTTCAGTGTTTGAAAACCATTTCGGAAGAAATTAATCGACAATAGAATTGGGGTTTTGGTTAACGACTTACAATTCTAATTGGTTTGTGTCCACCATAAGTGTTCATGTCCACATGTTTTAATCGATTTTCGTTCCAATGTAGACACTCTGAAATAAAAGAAAAATATAATGTTTCAAATATATGTACAAAAAAGTGTTTATTATATATTTACAGCTTCATCAAATAGATCGTATTTACATTTCATGCGCAGTGTTTTCGTTCTCTTTTTTTATATTAGTCTTTCGTACATTGCTTTTAATTAGTAGTTTGTCAAATATAATCATAAAACTTTAGATAAAGTCCTTGAGCGAAAAAAATACAATTTCAATTTTATCAGAGTTAACTGTTAATGTCATTTGTTAACAGTGATCGCGAAAGGTATCCAATTTAACACTGTATGTCTCCTGTAATTCTTATTGTAAATCAGTAGTATCCGCAAAAAGATGAAAAAAATAATTCAATGTACATGTATCTATTTAGTAAATGATCTTTTCTGTCGAATATATAAGTCAAGCAATTTGCATATGTAGACAACACAAATCATCAAAATCATTTAGACACACCGATGAAACATTTCGCCTGCTTATTTGGGTTTGAGGCTTCCTGATGACGGTAAGTAAAAAAGTGATGATGACAGATAATCATAAAGCGACATTTTCTTGTTGTGTAGCAAAAGTCTTTGGAGATACCGCTGGTCGACTACTAGTTCCCAAGGGTATACATAATATACCAGCAAAGTAGTCAGTGATTCGACTATAATGATATATAGCATGCATTCTGCGAGAGTCATCACCGGCGAGACAAAAAATAAGAAAATAGTTTACCTTGTCTAACGCAAATATTGCGGGGTATGCATATAAAAAACACTTTCAATTTCTTTAATTTACTTTATTCCTTCCACAAATCTTTTTGTGATACAAAATATGATGTTTTGGTGAAATCTGTTAAACATTTTAAAAGCACAGTTTAACTTAATTTCATTAATTTCATTAAAAAAGTACTGCAATCATATGAAGAACTAATAATTTATTTATAGTTTCATAACACTTTCTGAAGCCTGTTAGTGTTTGATTCATGAATTATCTCCGTCTGAAAAGTTGTGAAAACTGGTATTTAAAGCTAATGTAAACGAATTGCCATATCAACTATAGTTATAGGTCAAATATTCTCCGTGTCTCTTTTTTGTTGTTGCCTTGAATCCATGAATATGTAATTGATTCCGACATGTACATGAGTCGTGCTTGATTCCACATTCAAAACAAATATTTCAGATACTCGTTTAAAACCAAATCAACATCTGGTCCTTTATTATCCGTTTTATTTGAAGCGAACATAAATTCTATTAAACAATTAAACAAAAGACTTATCAGAATAATTGTCCAATGTGTATTTGTTTGTCTTGGTGATTATGGGTGGAAGGGGGCGGGGGGGGGGGGGGGGGTGGGGGTTAAGGGTGTCAGTGTGTGTTAAGGCTTCATAAGAGTAAGAAGACATTTTCCGAACATACATGTAAGTACATTTTGGTTTCAGTTTATTGAATAATAAAGGGTGGTTAACAGTATATTGAAACCAAACAACAACAGAGGGATTAAGATCCTCATTGGAATGTACCATGTAAAAGAATTCAAATGAATTTTGAACACTATACGCTGTTAATATCACTACTCATATAGGTTTTTGTCATACTATCTGATAACGACTTCCTGAATGGTTTAATGAGAAATGAGCAGAAGAATGAACGGTCAACCGTTACTGGATTGAGATTTTTGCCAGACTATTTGTACAATTTAGAAAGCCGATACATTGTGGGAATCTATAGTATTCAGTAGTAGCTTTCATTTGTATATGACAACCTGATAACTGCTATTTATTAAGCAACAACTGAAATCATTAATAAGTTAGTTTTCAGCAGTGATTTCATATCATCTTTACTGCACAGTCATGTATCTGTTATTGTTGGATGCATATTTCGCAGTTATTCAGCTTTTCCCCAGTGTTTAATGCGCTTCTTGTCACGTTTGCTTCGCTCATATGGATTATCTAAGAGGAAAATAGTATAAAACTTCATCTATGACTTAAATATTGTACAGTGATTTGTAGTGTGCTAGTTAAATAAAGGCAACAGTAGTATACCGCTGTTCGAAACTCATAAATCGATAGAGATAAAAACAAATCCGGGTTACAAACTAAAACTGAGGGAAACGCATCAAATATAAGAGGAGAACAACGACACAACAAAAAACACAACTGTTACATTAAAATGTAACACACACAGAAACGAACTATAATAAAACAATGGCCATTTTCCTGACTTGGTACAGGACATTTTAAGAAAAAAATGGTGGGTTGAACCTGGTTTTGTGTTAAAACTCAATATAAATTTTAACCCCCCCCCCCTCCCTTATTTTCTTTTTCTTATTCAAAATAATAATTTTGTGTTTTTTTTATTTTCATTTCAAAATAACAATTATTAAACGATAATATTAAAAGAAAAATTTCTTAAAAGACTAATACTCGTAAAAAAGTTTTTTTTGTTTTTTTTTAAGTATCGGAAGTGACCTTAGTTTAAAATCTATGATGATAAAAAGGTTTGATGTTTACATGTTTATAAGGAAACTGCAACGGATATTTTTCAAAATAAAGTTCGTAATACATGTACCATATAACTAGTGTATTTGCCATATAATTTAAAGTTCGTGCATTTAACGCAGCGGAGAGATTACACAAAAGAAGTGAGTTAAACTACTTCAATTGATTCAATTTTTCTTTCCTGTATTAATTGAGAAAAAGCCACTGGTTAATTTTTTTCTTATTAATTGCAATGTAAAGGCACTGAGAACATAGTTTCCACGTGAAATGTTTTACAAGTTAAATGTCAATCCTTGATAACACTAAATGTGTTTTAATATGTAAACGCACTATTAGACCTTTTCAACAATTGTCTACACCGACAGTTGACTACGGCTACGACAGGTAAGATGTAAGTGGTCGTCTCAAAGAACTAATGGTTGTATATAATGGTTACCAGTAACTGAATTGAAAGGATTTTTTGTTGCCTATATGTATTTACCACAACAAATTTTTTTTGTTGTAAACCATTTACTGATTTAAATTCTTTAATTTTATTTTTGAATCAGTATGAATGAGGGTCTTGAGCGGGTTTACAGAATAGATATAAATGGACCAATACTACAGAATCATGGGGCAAAAAAATAAAGAATAGAGAAAAATAGGCATAAAAAAAGAATAGAGAACAATGGGCAAAATAATAGAAATAGAAAATGGCTTAAAAAGTAAGAGAATACAGAACAGGGATCCCATCCAGACCCCCATGAATGAATGAAAGGGAGATCTTTAATATTCTATGCAATATTTTTAGAAAATGAGATTAAAGCTACTTTAAACTAGGAAAATAAAAGTAGTAAATATTTAAACAGACAATTGTTTTATGTCTACTGACATGGGCGTCACATTTCTATAATACAAAGTCCGTTATTTTTGGCCTCAAGATTCCTTCGTACTATGTTCAATTTAAATCTGTATTTAGTGACGAGTTGTACAGAACATTTAGATAAAGTGAATGCTCTATTTCATATGTTGGTTATATTTTGTTATTAATTCCAAAAGCACATAACAGACTTTGACAATAATGGGAAAAGGCAGACATGGGTTATGGACACGGCACGAATAAAGCATAAAATCACACAATGCAACACATAAAACAGACATAAAACAGACCGCGTGATCTTCAATACTGTCGGGTAATCATTACCAAGCAACGCGATCTGATCGGCCCAACAAAAAAAAAAGATCAAATCCCATGCCGCAGCATAATATTGTAAAATAAAAATTATTCCGAGAAAAGAATATATCATTGACCAATATATTCCGGGCTTGGAACCGTCGCATAACACATTCGGCGGGGGTTTTACTTATATAATTGGATCTAACAGCTCCCCCTATGTTTGGTCAGAGGTGAAATAAAAAAGACAATTGGTAAGCATAGTGAAACTAGATAAGAGTAGAAAACCGAAGCGTAGATCAACAAAAGGGAAAATCAAGAAACAAAAACAAATCCGGGGACAAGAGAAAAGGGCAATTTTCTCATAGAAAACCAAAGTTATATGAGTAAAACCTGACACCCTTAAACGCAAGTGCTACGACAGGCTACGCAGTACTAGCTTCTGACTAGACACTATACGTGTTTCTAGTAAATGTTATGCCCGGTAACGGAAAAAATGTATCAATAACAAAGGGACAACTTATAACAGTCAATTATATTCAATATGTACAGGAGTATAGTGAAGATCTGTTGAGAAACGCAACCTCTACGATGTCCACAAGTGTGTTTTGGACGCGTAACGGAGAGACAGAAACTCCCGTTACAATTTCCTCTCCGTAACTTAATTACTATGGGGATGATAAAATGTAGAGTAAAAAAAATAACATTCCAAAAACTAGTTAACGGCTATTGGCAAACGGTGCGGTCTTCCATTGAAAACTCGTACAATTAAATATTAATAATGATATTACCGAAAAAGCAATGGATTCGGATGTGAATAGATTGCCGATTATTATTTTTTTTTATTCGATTTATAGAATTAAAAAAGAAATGGTTAGTAAATAAATGCTTACATATAATAAATTTTATATGAAAGAAAGGGAAAAAAACACAGAAAATCCACAACAGCTATATTTGCTTAATATCTGTTCTTTTTCAAAATAATACCGTTCAATGTGTACGTATATGTTACATGCATGTTATACCTGAATGATTTTTATCTTTGATACGACCCCTCTATTTTCTCCTGTAAACTGTAGGTGTCAATAGTCGGTGTCGAGAGTTGTTGAAAAGGTCTATTTAAGCACAAGATATTTTAATTGATAAGATATTTGAGTATGTTGAGGGTTTCCCTATGTTCAATATCAAATCAAACAGTAAATGAGTTATTCTATTTTCGCTCAACAATATTTCAGCATTACTCCAAAATGTATACATACATGGGATGCTTTAGAGATAGTGCAACAAGACTGTTTCCAGTTGGACCATACACACCAAGAAATAATATAATGTCCACCAACATCTGCTTTAACTACTGCAATTCCAAAAACTATGATTATTTTGCAACAGAGGTAAGAACTACTTTTCCTAAATACGTATTTTAACTTTAATTTCGATTAATGCTTAAAATATAAACATACAAATTCCCGGAAATTGAGTTCATGAACTGCATTTGTATATTGTATATTTATACACATATACTATTAGTTGGTTTGTTTTTCAAGACATATTGCTCAATAGCAAGCAATACGCAACATGAAAAGCGTCAAATGGATAAAACAACTAGAACTTTGATTAGGATTTTATTACTCCCAATAAAGCACCAAAATGCTTGACCAGGTTCTCAGGTAGACATGACGAATCTATTGCAAGACTTGGAGTTATCAGACAACTTAGGGTAAAGATTCAAGACATGTCGAACGGGGCTTTATACTCGCAAGCTCATGCATGTACTGCTGGGGACAACGTTGTTTATTAATGATTTAACTCAAGTTAATTACAACACAATTATGACAAAACGCTGCACCAATATGACTATAGCCAATGTGGATTCTTTCACCATCGATTTGATTCATTTCAATCTGATATGACAGCTGGTATAATTGCATAATACCCTCGTTATTTGGCCTTTGCTATAGACACCTTGACTTAAGGCTTTGTCTTATTAAACAATATAGCTGTAATTAAACAAATATATGCCAAAGTTTTCTAACCCTCTTTTCTAGTACTATATTGTTTTACGTACTTGTAATTACAGTACGAACACGAATGTTTTTGTGGCAATGGGGGAAAACTCGGTTCTGATAACTATCCTTTAAAAATGGAAACAGATTGCAACAAGAAATGCAAAGGGCATGAAACACAAACATGTGGTGGCACTTGGAGAGTTTCTGTATATAAAATAAATAAAAATGGTGAGTAAACTTGTTGATATTTTAACTTTTCGAAAAATTCTCCAGGGCTCTTGTTCACTCTCATATTTGCATAGAACTATTCTCCCTTCGTCATTAAGACTGTTAAGCTCAACTATGCAAATAAAATAATCATGCACCTTTTAGTGTGGTTTGCAAAAGTTCATTGTTTTATCTATCAAGTATAATGTATCCCTCTAAAAAATGCTATAATTTTTGTTGTAAACTAATGCAATGCTTATGTTTTACACAGAAATAAGCATTTCAATGATTTAGAGAACAAGAGAATATATATAATGATAAGAGCGAATGTGGATACAAACAACTGAACTGATCATTTGTTTAGGCTGATCGATGTGTAGACCGTTCACGGGAAAATAGCGCCTGATCATTTATAAAAAAATATGTCACAATAAAACTAGTTTTTTTCAAATTCTGTATGTTAAATCATTCTGAAGTCATTACACTTTTCAGTACAATACAATACTTCTCTTTTTTTTTATTAATTCTGTTACAATGATAATATACTATTTCCCTTCTAGGTCAAACGGTTTTGACGACAACTCATACACCAACAAGTCAGAAACAAAGAACATCTGATATAGGTACTTGCAAATCCTATTTTTTCATATTTATCAATGAGCACTTTTTAAGTTAAAATTGCTATTTTTATGATGAACTCAATAATATTGTTCGACGGTTTGTTTTTCTTTATTCAATTTCATAAGTATAGAATTTATTTTCAATTGATATTCCTCTACAGAAGTTTTATATTAACACGTATGTTCATGATCTGGATTAAATCTATTGTCTCCTTGAAAATACTACACACGCGTGCATTTTTTACGATAGCTTTAAATTGTCTTAAAATATATTCTTTAAAGTATGATTAATATCAACCTCTTATATGTGATACTATGTGTATAGAATTGGCTAGAACCGTATAAGTAAATATAATATTCAGTCTTTGGAACATTAGTTTAAACTTAATTTCATTTTTTTAAATTTACAAATTAAACAATTACTTTTTTTCTCTAATTATTACTATATACAAGTCTACAAAGTACAAAAACAAATATGATAGCGTTATATTTGTTTTTTATGTGACTTTCCTTCCTTAGTCCTTTGTACTAGTTTAAATTATTAAAACGTAAAAGCTAGGTCGTTAGATTAAGTTAACGACTTGTTTAATTATAAGACGACAGCTTAAGATTTAAATTTCGTACGTTTATTTTAACTCGCGAGGCATTACATTATCTTTAAAGGGCAATAAAATATATAACTACAGGTTCTTTATTCAGTTACCATGACATAACTTTCTATTCAAGGTCACCAGTTATCAACGACAAAACATACACAGACAAGTCCGGAACAAGGTAAAATATTCACACATAAGCAGTATAATTTTGATTTTTAATTGTTATTTTTACTAGGAACTAAATAATGCTGGTGACGATTTATTGATTTCGTTGTATTTTGATCCATAATTATAGAAAATAATTTTCTCCCAAATAAGTGAATTACAATTCCTTCTACGAAACCTTAGTATTAACATGATTAACGCGTATTCTCGTAGTATATATTTAATATATTGGCACATTGAGAATAGTATGTACGCATTAATTAATAGCAATAGCTTTAAATTGTATTAAACTATAAACTTTTTAAATCCCAATTAAAATTAAATTTTAGGAACTCAGCAAAACTCACGTAAGCTGGAAAAGTGGATTTCCTGCTTTGTACATAAGTAGTTATAGCACTTTTTAATATTTAAAAACTCAAATTTTATGGTTTCTCTGTACACTGCATGTGTTTTAGAATATTTTCCATTAGGTACGTTCATAACCAGCAGTGACATGAAGCTTGGAAAAGTCAAAAATATAAAACGTTCGAGAGTATTCAAAACTCAAAAGGACATGTATCAAATTGGGCATAAATAAACTTCACGGACACACACGATCAACGTCACACACAAGGCATTATACGGTCACATATTGTATATAACAAACAATTGTAAGGTATTTGGATAATAAATTGTTTGATCGATTCTGATATCGATTTACAAAAAGAGTTTTTTTTTTATTTCCAGGTTTTAAATAGTCACAATGTTTTGTTTATGTCCTTGTGATTTGTAGCTTTAACACATTGAATATTTTTAGATAATTTCTTTAATTTATATTTTGTTAACCATATCTACCATATAAGATGAACGATAGCAAATTTAAATTAGGGCCTATCTTCTTGAATTCATTTCCCATTATGGTCATTTAATCTTCTCTTAAATTAACAGTATCACAGCTCCGAATCCTACATTTTATCAATTAAGTGTTATGTATATTTTGGGTGAGCACATATTAATTAATTCCGAATAGAGTGAACATGCACGAGCATAACGTATTAACTGAGATATGTAAACGCCATATACTAGAGCAGAGGGAATGTTATTGCGTTGGAATGTGACGTTGACAATGGGAAAGTTGAAATTATCATGTTTGTCATATAATCTAGTTTGAAGTCGTTCGTCTGTGTCAATATTGAGGAAAAGATCAAGATACAAGGTAGACTTCTATTTTTAAAAGTATCCTGTATCTCAAGTTCACAAAGATATGAGATGAAAGCACTCGTCGCAATTTTAGTTATTGTTGACAGAACATTATCAATATATTTTAAGTGAAGTTAAAGAACTGTGCAAGATGGCTTAAATTCTTTTTGACTTTGCATACATTCTGTGTGAAATTTGCTTTATATGAGTACAATAACTAGTCGACCAGAAGTGGTGCATTATTAGCATTGTCGTCAACAGAGACGTTTTGCGTTATATATCAGTTATATTTTATTGATATCTGTAAAAATGATACTCAAAGTTCAGTAAGTTTCATGAACTTTTCGATTGTTACACACTGAGGGAAACAAATTTAAGAGGAATACCACTAAACAAATAGTAGTGTCATGTCCAGAGTAATTTTTTGCGACTAATATGATTTAAGAACGTTACGTGTTAAAACTGAATGTTAATGTTTCGTATTATAACATTTATGTTCATTACACTTTCGAAGACAAGTATGTCATACACACGCTGAGGAAATCAAACATAGGACACGCAAATTGATTTTGTGAGATCTCAACCTTCCTTATTTTTTTTTTTACATTTTGCTCAGTAATTGCAATAACTAAAAGATACAGGGGGAAATGTACCATATGAATACATTTGTATGTTATGTAAAGCAATTAATTCATTGATATCGATATTATACACAACAAATACATGAATATATGTAAAAAAAAAATCTAAAAAAATATTGCACCAAGATAACTGAAGCAACTACATAATTTTCCTTTATGATTACATATGTAAAAATAAGAAGATGTGGTATGAAAGCCAATGAGACAACTCTCCACAAGAGACAAAATTACACAGGAATTGACAACTATAGGTCACCGTACGGCCTTCAACAATAAGCAAAGCCCATACCACATAGCTAGCTATAAAAGGCCCCGAAATGACAAATGTAAAACAATTCAAACGAAAAAAATCAACGGCCTAATTTATGTACAAAATAATGTACGAAAAACAAATACACAGCAACAAACGACAACCACTGAATTACAGGCTCCTGAATTCGGACAGGCACATACATAATGTGGCGGGTTAAAACTAGTTTGTTGGCACCAAACCCTCCCCCTAACCTGCGACAGTAGTGTAACGACACAACATAAGAACAAACTATGTAAAACAACAAACGAAAAACAAGTATGAGAAACAGCAAACAAAAAAACGGCAATCACTTTTACAGGCTCCTGACTTGGGACAGACACATATAGAATGTGGCGGGGTTAAACTAGTTTGAAGGCGCCAACCTTCCTGGGACAGTGGTGTAACAGTACAACATAAGAACATACTATATAAATCAGTTGAAAAACGCTTAAATTTTGACTTGGATGGAGAGTTGTCTCAATGGCACTAGTACCACATCTTCTTATATCTATTTACTGCAGGGTTTGTTGCTCGTGCTGTGTGGATGCAGTAGAATGTGTCCCCGTGCTTGTGGTGTATGCCCTTATTTTTTTCAAATATGGGTTGTTTGCCTGTGAAAGAGCTTTCACATGTTTATTATATCTTTGTTCTTAATTGTTAATTATATATTATGGTGTTTGGATGTATAAATACTCATCCACGCCTGCTATTTTTATTATTGCCCCTGCTATGGTTTTCCAAAGTTTTCTTACAATCTCTGTTTTTGCCCTGTGTTTGTTATATGTCAGTATTGTAATACTTAAGTCTTTACGTCGGGCCTTTTATAACAGTTTTTGTAAGAGTTTACTGCTTTGCCTATTATTTCCTATTCCGTAATTGTCATCCTTATTCATTGTTACAACCTCCGGTCTTTTTTATTTTTCCTATACCCCTATTGATTATCTTGATTTTACGTAATGGAAAGAAAATTTTAACAACACTACTTCTAGGATATCCACGTGCTTAAACAAACGTATTTGTAATGCCTCTACAGCAAGATTGTTTAACAAAAATGCACGTGGATATCCACAAATTTTCCCGTGCAATGCCAAAAAGTGACTAACCTGTTTTAGATTAGCTTCACAAAATACTGTAAGGTCAACAGTGAACGGGAGAGCTTTTTCGCTCTCCTTTTCCTGTGACATTACCTGAAAAACTCAAAACCTTATATATGTGGTAACTTGAACCCAACCTAAGTGTGGTATTCAATATGTGGGACAGACGGGACGAGAGTATTACAAAAGAAATCAAGAACACCTTGACCGTAAGGTCATAACTTTTCTTAAGAAATGACTGAAATATCGTCCTCCATCTAAAATAGATTGGAAACAGTGTCGTAAGGTCATTAAAGACGCTCTGTCTGTCTACTGTAAAAATCGGTGTAAACGTGAAAAATCTGATAAAAAATCTCTAGACAGTTATTTGAATAAAATTATGAATACTGTTAATATTCGTATATCTCATTTTGAAAACAATTCTGAAATTAGTAATAGGGTCCATGATATTCCCATTTCTCGAATAAAAAATAAACTCCAAGTACTCGCAAAGCGGTTTGTGTTCGTACCGGCAGACAAAGCAGGAAATAATGTAGTGGTGGTGTGACGCATATACTACACGGAAGTTCTCCAAAACGAAATTACAAATTCATCTACATTCAGGTCCGTACGCTCCACAGAGAGTCAAATTGTAAACAAGCATATCATTGCCACTACCCAGCTTAAAGCCTCTTCCGAAAATTTGAAAGTCCCTACTATGTACTGGTTACCTAAATTGCACAAAAACTATTTAAATTCCGTTTCATCTCCGCATCTAATAAGTGTTCTACTACCAATCTATCAGTGTTTCTAACTACCTCCCTTACTACTACCAAAGAACTTGTTATTAACTTTTCTGATAAAGCTTATGAAAATAATGGTATTAATTATTTTTGGAGTGTTAAAAATTCCTTAGAGGTTTTAGATAAAATACATGCTTTTGCTGGTCCTTTTAATTCTGTTGACAGTTATGATTTTTCTACTCTCTATAGTACACTTCCACACAATCTTATTAAGAAAAAGTTTTCATATTTAATTAAATGGTCTTTTGAATAAT